CCCTGTGATCAAGCAGGAAACTCCATTACCATTTTAGACAAATGGTTGTCCAATCTCTCTTAAAAATATCCAGTGTTGGAGCACCCACAGCTTCTGGAAGCAAGTTGTTCCACTGATAAATTGTTCTAATTGTCAGGAAATGTCTCCTTAGTTCTGGGTTGGTTCTTTCCTTGATTAGTTTCCATCTATTGCTTTTTGTCCTACCTTCATGAGGTTTGGAGAGTAGGTTGATCCCTTCTTCCTTATTAAGATCCAAATAAGATCCAAATAAGGAAGGCCACTCACAGAAAATGTAACTTCCTCTTCCTTTTCTGTTGCATGTAGGATGAAATCTGAAACAGTGCAAATTTGTAGGATGAAATCTGAAACAGTGGAAATAAAGCTGCATAGGGTTTTTTTAAACACAAGTATCTGTTCTAGATGATAGTGCTGCTTTGGATGATGTTGTACTTTTATTATGCTTCAGTTAAATATATTTTCTTAAAATAGGGGTAATACCACAATCTTCTTAGATTGAATCAAAGCCTCAGACATCGTCTGTAATATACAGAAGAATAAATATAATTTATGAGTATCTGAAGCTACTGTTTTTTCTTCCACTCACTTTGTTCTTTAGTAGAACTAATTTGAAACAATAGGGTTTGAGTCTACTATCCTACTACTATGTTCAACTAAACACTGTAATATGTTATGGAATATCATATTCATTCTATCAAGAAGGCTTTCCTTTAATTCTGCCACTTACAACTATGCTGTAGGAATAAACACAATAGATTATGGTTGAAAATGGCTGATCCCTGTTGCAACATGAAGAATGGCTTAAGAAGACCTTATCACAAGGGTGTGAAATAGCAAGATTAGCATATAGAACAGGTGAAGGCTTGGGAATTACTACTAGTTGCATTTCTCAGCACTTGGTGCGATAGAATGTTGCCCTGCATCAGCAGAAAACAGTCCTCTGTATGTTGTCCTTTAAGGTGATGAGCATTTTCTCTCAGACTAAAAGGAAAATGGGACTCTAGCAGCAATAGGCAAGAAGGAACAGAAAAAAAAAATAGAAAATCTGTAGTGCTAAATAGAAAGCATCCACAGAAGCAGCTCAAGCTGTTGGCAGGTATCCTGTGGCATATAATTCTTTACATATTATATTTTCAAGATGGGTACTTTATATTTTTCTATTTAAAGCATATACCTAAATATGCCAAAAACAGATATGATGAGCAGATATTTGAAAACACACGCCTCTTCTTGTGTACATATGAGAGCAAACACAGATTTGTTGTTAAACAATATATAAACTGAAAATGGCAGGTTGCTACTTGGAGACTGCCCTCATATTGTCAGTGGTGTGAGAAATTAGAAAATGGAGACTTTTTTCCCATTGGTTCTCCTTGTGCTCAGCTTAGTAGCACATTGGGCAGGAAAGAACAGAACCTGAAAGGGTGGGAGAAGGGAACTCGTTGCTGGCTTGTGTGTATATGAAATAATGTGGCTTTGCTTCCTTTTGCATAGGCATTAAAATTTAAAGACATTAAGGGAAATCTTCCACAGTCTCTCAAAAGATTTGCAAGTTTTTTCTAAAAGAGAAACAATCTGCCTAGAAGAGAAACAATCTGTAAAAGTCTATTTTCTTCCATATGACCACATCCAAATTAAAGAAGAGAACATTTTGCTTTTCAGATTAAGGTGCTTCATGTAGGAAACAAGCAAAGTGTGTCCAGATATTCTCCTAACATTTCAGGATTGTAATTGCAATTGCAGTATATATTTTCAACAAAATTATTTTTATATCAGCAGTATTTTCACTAAGCATAGAGGTAGGTTCCCCCACCTCAACCCCGCATTTTCAGGAATAGTTAGGAATTTTAATTTGGTCAACTTTTTTACAAAGAATGTAGAGAATCCAATAAGTATTTGGAAATCAGACTGACAACCATTCAACTTAAAAGTGAGGATAATGCATTTTTCCATAAAAAAAATAAAAAAGCAAAATAAAGTAAATTCACAAACACAGAAGATTAAAATTTTAAGAAAAATATAGGGTTGGACTTTATAACATCTGAGCTTTTAAGCAATATGGCGTGAATAGAAAAGCATTTATCCATATGAATCCTCATCCGTAGCCTAAGGAAGTATTGTCCAGACTTCTCCCAGAAGATGGGGAAGCATTGGAATTAGACCTCAGGCCTTGGGTCAGATTTTCTCCAGTTGGAAAGAGAAGCTATCAATAGCTCTGGACACCAATGTATCCCATTGGAGATGTGCAAAGCTATTCTTCCTGCCGAGGAGACATCATTATCCTTCTTTACGTTAAGTATTCAAAACTAAAGTTCAATCATATATTTGCATTTCTAGCCAGATACATGGCATTCTAAATCAGGATGGATAAATAGTTCTATTCCAACAGACTTTTAAATCAGTCCTGTTTCAAACATAGCACAATACCAAAATCTTTCTAATAAAACACGGAGTGGTTTGAGCCAAAATGTTGCCAATACTCCTTGCCCATTCCATATCACGAGGGTTATAGCAAATTTTAAAAGGTCAATAAATGATGCACATATGTAATATTTTGTACTTATCTTTCACAAATCAACAAACGTGAAATGATTACTTCATTCATCATTCATTTTGCCTTGCAGCATCTATATAATATATTTGCAACATTAGCACAACAGTCACAATTGCTATGCACAAAACAACAAAGTTTGAGATTAAACTATTAGACTACTTTCCATTGGGAAAATAATACATAAACCAACAATCATGCCAAGACTGCTAAAAAAAAATCTTCTTTAACTTAAGATCTAAGTAAAAAGTTTTGAAGGTCAATATAGCTTTCATCCTTGGCTTTAGCAGACTTTCTACTAGGCTCTAAATCTTAATGCACAAGGACTTTGAGAACTATTTTTCAGAACCAAGCCAGCTTCTCCCAACTACTCAAAATACATTTCTTCTGGAAGTCACAGCCAGCAATGTCTGGCAATATGTTGCCAATAGCCTGAATTTGCTCAAGGAAGGACTATCTATCCATTAATCAATGCAACAAAATGATTTAATCTGCACTGAAAGCTTTTGGAAACGAATCCTCCTTCCTTTTGGCCACACTAGAGTTTTGCATTTGACAGGGGAAAGGCAAAAAGCCCTGCAAAACAAAACAAAATGAAAATTTTCCCCAGATTAAAAAAGAGATGTTTGGCTTCCTCCCCCAATCCTTCCTGACAGACACATAACAATACATCTCCACTGATTCAGAATTAAGTTTAATGAGCAGGACAATCTCTGCATTCCTTTCCCCCTTTGCTTCCTTCTACAAGTTTTATCAATCTAAGTCATCTTGTTTTTTCTTCTTCTTCAGGCCAGCATTAAGCTATTAAATGCACCATTTCACCCTTCTTCTCTCTGACTAAATGTCAGCCTTCAAACTCAGGGTGACAGTTGTTCCTCTGCTGCAGTTCCCTCCCTCCCCTACACCTGTTAGGGTCCCTGCCTTGGTACTTGTTGGCTAAAAACATGCTAAATATTCATCACTGTCACCTCATTGCACTTCTAATTCACTCTGATCTGGAGGTTAAGCCTCTCTGTGGTGGCCATTTATTCCCCCCTCTTATATCTTAAAGCTTCACTGCTCCTTGCCTGGTGTTGCAGATGGAGAGGAGTTCATTTGCATCTTTATGATCTCTATTATTAGATAGTCTGATTCCAAATACAGCTACATGTACCTTCCGTACTAGCCCTGCAGTGCAGCTTTAGCATTCTTACAATTCAAGTCTGGGCAACTTTACAATGACCATCTTTAATTTTATCAGTGTCTAGTGTAGGATTACTATATCCAGGCTGCAAAAATCTATATGGCTACTAGTTGGGAGCAAAGAGATACATTTTTTAAAACTCTGCAGTCCTTTAACGGTCATCTGGTTTTCTGCATCTCTAACTCAGGATAGGATAGGATAGCCCTAAGTGAGGATAGCCCTAAGTGAGGCTGAAACACATGAAGAAGGCTTTGTGGGTTGTTTTTGTGCTTTCTTCCCCTTTAAGTTTTTAAAGTGAAAAATCTACTCAAAACCTTTTTTTAACTTACTAGCAGGAAATTAAGCTCCTGCAACTTGACAGTTTGCTGTCAAATGTTGTTGGTAGAGTCCCTGAGTTTTGGAAGATTTCAGAGTGACATGTAGCCTTGAGTTACCCATAACTATGTTATTATATATCATTTTCAAGGCAGTATTTCTAGAAGATTCTCAATTAAGCTACACAACACTGTTAAACAGATTTTGTTGTTATCACTTCTGAACCATAGAAGACAGAAAATATGTCTCAACTCCCTTTCATCTTAACAAAGATACCTATGTGACCATCTTCCAAATAATCAGTACAAGATTTGCATTCTATGCAGGCCATTTTACCTTTTAGATATATTAAAAAAGAAATTCAGTGGAAGAAGCATTTGCTACCCTAATGAGTTGAACTTAGGCAGAATTGTTAAAGAGATACAGCTCTACTTTATAGAAAGGTAAAGCACTAAGTTGCAAAGTGTGGGTTGAACTTCCCAGGATATTGTCCAAGTAAAAGCATGCTTGCTCTTCCCCAAAGAAATCTTCCAGCTGACATGAGGTGAGAATGCACACAAAGATAGGAGGACACACAGTCATTATTTTTATCAAATTTACAAACCACTCATCTCACTCAGAGAATGACTCATTAGGGTGCTAATACAAACAAGCCAGCAGATCTGTACAACTTTAAAAACATTCTGCAAGCATTCTTATAACTGAAACTGACTCAAGATATTTTTTTAGAATTAATTCTGTATTTTATACTCTTTTTAAACCTTCTCACTTAGATTCTATTGTAAATACAAGCTTTTTATTTGCATAGCAATTTTGTGTTAGTTTTGTTTGGTTGCCTCTCACTTTCTGCACACACATTAATTTTTAAGTATTAAAAAAAATCAGAAAATAAACCATGCAGTAAAATAAAAGCAAGAAGAAGTGCATTTTTACCTGAAATTTCAAATGTGTGTTCTCCAGGGAAAGCTGCAATGGGTTCTGTAAATAAAAAGAAGAGCTGAAAGTGAGTATTTCCATCAGCAAATTATAGATCCAGAAAATAGTAACCCATATGATCAGGGACAATCTTGAAGAACCTCTTTTTCAATTTGTACACTTGATACCCAATCTTTTATCCTTTTTAGGGGGTGGGGAAGGATCTTCTGTATTCACTGAGGATAAGTCTCTAAAAATGTGTTTGTGATAACAGGCTTTCCACTAGGCCAATCATAATAGGATATGTTCTAGCAATAGAAACACAATTGCAATTGTACAGGTGAAACTCAAAAAATTAGAATATCGTGCAAAAGTTCATTTATTTCAGTAATGCAACTTAAAAGGTGAACCTAATATATGAGATAGACTTATTACATGTAAAGCAAGATAGTTCAAGCCGTGATTTGTCATAATTGTGATGATTATGGCTTACAGCTCATGAAAACCCCAAATCCACAATCTCAGAAAATTAGAATATTACATGCAATCAATAAAACAAGGATTATACATAGAACGATATCAGACGTCTGAAAAGGATAAGCATGGATATGTACTCAGTACTTGGTTTGGGCCCCTTTTGCAGCAATTACTGCCTAAATGCGGTGTGGCATGGAAGCTATCAGCCTGGGGCACTGCTGACGTGTTATGGAAGACCAGGATGCTTCAATAGCGGCCTTCAGCTCTTCTGCATTGTTCGGTCTCATGTCTCTCATCTTTCTCTTGGCAATGCCCCATAGATTCTCTTATGGGGTTCAGGTCAGGCCAGTTTGCTGGCCAATCAAGCGCAGTAATCCCACGGTCAATGAACCAGTTTTTGGTATTTTTGGCAGTGTGGGCAGGAGCCAAGTCCTGCTGGAAAATGAAGTCAGCATCCCCATAAAGCTCGTCTGCAGAAGGAAGCATGAAGTGCTCCAAAATCTCCTAGTAGACGGTTGCGTTGACCCCGGACTTAATGAAGCACAGTGGACCAACACCAGCAGATGACATGGCTCCCCAAATCAACACAGACTGTGGAAACTTCACACTGGACGTCAAGCATCTTGCAGTGTGTGCCTCTCCATTCTTCCTCCAGACTCTGGGTCCTTGGTTGCCAAATGAGATACACAAGTTGCTCTCATCAGAAAAGAGGACTTTGGACCACTGAGCAACAGACCAGTTCTGTTTTTCTTTAGCCCAGGTAAGATGCTTTTGACAGTGTTTGTTGTTCAGGAGTGGCTTGACAAGAGGAATACAACATTTGAAGCCCATGTCCAGGATCCGTCTGTGTGTGGTGGCTCTTGATGCACTGACTCCAGCCTCAGTCCACTCCTTGTGAAAGTCCCCAACACTTTTGAATGGCCTTTTCCTGACAACCCTCTCCAAGTTGTGGTCATCCCTGCTGCTTGTGCACCTTTTTCTTCCACCTTTTTCCCTTCCACATAACTTTCTATTAATGTGCTTTGATATAGCACTTTGCGAACATCCAACTTCTCTTGCAACTACCTTTTGAGGCTTTCCCTCTTTATGGAGGGTGTCAATGATGGTTTTCTGCACAACTGTCAGGTCAGCAGTCTTTCCCATGATTGTGATTCCTACTGAACCAGACTGAGAGACCATTTAAAGGCTCAGGAACCCTTTGCAGGTGTTATGGCTTAATTAGCTGATTAGAGTGGGACACTTTGGGCCTAGAATATTGCACCTTTTCACAATATTCTAATTTTCTGAGATTGTGGATTTGGGGTTTTCATGAGCTGTAAGCCATAATCAATTATGACAAATCATGGCTTGAACTATCTTGCTTTGCATGTAATGAGTCTATCTCATATATTAGGTTTACCTTTTAAGTTGCATTACTGAAATAAATGAACTTTTGCATGATATTCTAATTTTTTGAGTTTCACCTGTATTTTATTTTAATTTTTGTCCCAGAAGATAGAATGCTAGGTGATAACAAAACTGATAAGCTGAAGGACTGAAATAGTGTCGATTGCAAAGCACACAAAATATCTCAGAGAGTGTCTACATCTCCCATCCTCTTACAGCTCACAGGTTGTTTGGAGGATAAAATGGATTAACCCCATGGGCTCCCCAAGAGAAGATCTTCAGTTGTCATACACTAAAGATTAACATGCTATACTGATTCATAGCTTGGTCCCATTTGATATAGTAAACATTTGTAATAACTCCTATAATACAGTACATGCTAAATGCCACCAACAATGGTGTTGTGCCTTTTTTGAGGAATAACACAAGACATAGGCTCTCCGTGCATCTCTCTTGTTTTGGAAACTGCAGGTAAGTGGTTCCTTCTAGTTTTAAAAACAAGAGAATAAAATTACTGGAGTGGTAAAGCAGGATTACACGTGATTAATGTTAAAGATTAAGACTAAGTTGGATGGGAGGATATGATAACAGGTTTCATATATTAGAAAGCTTCCAAGGAAGGAAGGAAGGAAGGAAGGAAGGAAGGAAGGAAGGAAGGAAGGAAGGAAGGAAGACACCTGGGAAAGGAACTTAAGATGTCATTTACATGCACTTTCTAAAGCACAATCTATTATGTAGGACAATGTCTATTTATGAAGGTTTCAAGTAGGGATCCTAATTGTATCTTAGAGATGGTTAGACATATTGCTTTTTAACTCCCTAAAATAGGAATAATGTGATTTTTATGTTATATCACAAACTCCATTTATATGCAGGTTTTTAAAACCACTTTAATCACTTAAGGTCACCCATCTCATTGGAGTGCTTCTGGGTAGCAAACAGTAAATAAAAACAATTTTCAAAAAATCTGTAACAACAAATACAATTGTTCAGCCCCAAATCCAGCATATAGGAGTTGAGTTTAGCTTACAGATATAGAAACTAGCTTTGACAAATTTAAAAGGGGAGGAGGGATTGCAGTTTCCTCCATCTAATCTTTCCCCAGCCTCACCCATTTTCTTTTTTAGCTCTCCCTTATAGGATTCCACAGCCTGAAATTCAGAATACTGAAAGAGAAATAGATACTTAGCAGAAATAATATGTTACTAGCCCCTGTGGAGGAGAGAGTGGGAAGAAATGACCAATGTGTTTCACTGATTGTTTTCCTGAAGAAAAAAGGAAAGGGCTTTATTATTATTTCTAGATGACTTCTGCATTACATTTGGAAATAGAGTCGCTTGGTTTAACTATGGTTTCAATTGAGTGCTATGAAATACTCAGCCAGTCTAAAAAAGAAAGTGACAGGTCTCTGAAAAAAGAAAAATAGTAATAATTGTGAGCTATTAGATGCTTTCCTTAAGTTGAAAAGGAATTTGATTACTTCTCTGGGTTACAATTACAGAAGCTTGTCAGTTTCTTTTTATAGTTGTATGGGGTGTCTGTGTGATTATGCATGCACATGTATGTTCAAATACTAAATGATTTAACAGAAACATCAATGAAATATTTGAGTTTGACTTTTTTTCACTAGATAATGTCTTTAAAAACTATTGTGAGAGGAAAACCCTGAGACAAATTGAAGCATTGGCTGGGACACTTTACAATTAAAAACAGTGAAAAGGATTAAACACTCGTCACCTCAGTCCCAAAACCCCATTTAAAACCTCCCCATTACTTTTATTCCTTTAGAAATGCTCCAATTCATGGAACTGCAGTCTCTTCAAGCAACTCCCCACATTACTCAACAAATCAAATAGCTATGGGAACAGCAATCCAAAGCTAATCTGGTGAGCAATCATGTCAATAATTCTACAGAACCAGGTTCCCAAAAGTTGGAAAGGACATGGATTTTTTTTATTATTGTAAACATGGAAATTGCACCTGGCATGTAAATGTGTAGAGGATTTCTAAGTCATTACCTGCAATGGTAACAAACATTTACTTGCACTGCAATACTTAATTCCTAAGGAGCCAGTTTTGTGTATTGGTTAAGGTGCCAGGATCCAACTAAAGATCTGAGAAGTTGCTTTTAAAAAAAAAACTACCTATGGAATTGATTTTCTCGTCTGGCCTACTTAATGGGACTGAATTAGGGAGGTATCTACTTGACCATGTCCGAATGTTATCATGTTCTGGACTTTTAAAATGTCTCAACTCCTTTTGATTAGGTAACTGGTCATTCAGCTGGCTATATATGCTATCAAGGACAGTGTCTTTCCCAGGACTTCAACTACACCTACCAAATCTGGGCTTTGTACCAAACCCACAAACAACCATTTAGCCAGCAGCCAAGAAAAACACAAAAACTGAACACTGCTGCCATCTACTGGTTGGCTGGAGTTTTGCAGCCAATATAAGATAGCCTTTCATCCACTGATGATATCAAAGATAGGACCTGCCACTCCTAAGGTGCTCTACTACTGTCTTCTTTCAGTGGTTGATAGCACAAACTACAATGATACCAAAGATGACAACATGCATGGAATGTCTTACTATAAATTCTGCTATTAGTATTTGCTGTCATTAGTACTTGGGCACTGATGTCTGGTGCAAGTATTTATGTGATGCGATCATTAATGTACCTGTCATTTTGTCTCCATCCAGGTGCTAATGATAGCAGAATAACTGGCATATTTTTAGGAGTTAAAAATATTATAATTTTATTTACTGGCTTTTGAATGTGATTTCTCAGGTCACCACCCTTTTCTGGTAGATTATTTCCTATTAATGTTTCTATTGATCTCATCAGCCCTTTCTAAGTATACAGTGCTGACTGATGACCAATTTTGGCTCCTGGACATTTTTCTTCGGTAACAATCTTATTATTATTATTATTATGAGCAGTCCATGCCACTGCAGAGACACACATTAATCTCTCACTGTGTGGATAGGAAAACCATCAGTACCGGCTTTCCCCAGCCACTCTTACTCCCCGACTTCCTCCAGAAGGAGAGAATAGACTAAATGAATGGGTGAGACTTGCTTTAATGCAGCCAGAGTTCTGTCTGCTTAACAACCTTAAGATAAGATTGCCTGCAAAGATGATTGCTATGTAACCTCTTGACCACAACTGTAGAAGAATCATTTGCACACAAGAGCTATTGAACCAAGATGATATTTGCTGGAGGGTAACCTATTCCTATTAATTCTGCCCACTGCTCCTTGCTAATCTCTTTCTAGAATTGAGTAATATACATACTGCAGTGGAGAGGGGAGAGATACAGGTTGTCCTACATGGGACTATCATCCCCTAACCACCCATGTACACAAACATTGGCCTTCTGACTGTTTCTTCCACAATATTGGAGTGGGTAATGGGATTCTTAACATTAAAGCAAAAAATAAAACATGAAAATGAAGACTTCCTGTCATTCAGAAAATTTTAATAAAGAAAATCATTCAGAGAGGAGTTATTCAAGTCTAGCCTTACCTGTAATACACTGATTATATAAGCAATACTTTCTGCCATATGACAGGATGCATTCAATCAACTTATTTTCTAACCCATCTTGCTCAGACCAGAGTTTTTGTAAACTGGGCCTGAGCAATTTTTCTCCAGGGAAAAAAAATGGTGATGGCACTCAGCAAAACCATAGCAGCCAATGCTTCTACATCCCTTCTGAAAGCCAAGATCATCCAGATTGCTTTGGTGTTAATTGGTAGATTGAATGCATGTCTTAGGACAGGGGTGTCAAATTTCCAGCGTGGATGCCTCATGCACTGGCCATGCCCACACCCATTTTAGCGAAGGGGGAAAAATCCTGATGTGACGCCATTGTGACGATGTGAGTTTGACACCCTTGGCTTAGGAACTATATGAAGGCTGCTTCTCATGAAATAGGCACCCTAGGAAAGCCACTTGGAATTGGATCGGTACTAAGTTAAAATACTCACTTAATATTTCCACACATACCCCAGCTAGCATTTGTTATAACAGTGAAAAGTGAGAATCAGTGGCTAATTTGCATGCATATGATCAACTTGCTATCTGAAACAGTCATCACAGAGGTGCAACTGTAGGCAGCCCTCAAATAGTACAATTTTTGTATGAAAATGAACTATCAGGTAGGGGGAAAAAAACCCTTCAAAGTAGCAGAAGTGGCTTTGGATGGCTTTATACACTTTATATTTCGATACTTGTTATGTGGGACAAGGGGAATTACATCAGAAATAAAGAGTTCTCCTTCCTTCAACTTGCCAATTCTATTGTTGCAGATGAGTTGCTTCTTATTACAGATTAAATTTATCCTTACATACCCATGCAGTCCTCCAAAGAAGTATCAGTGCCTATTTGAATATCATCAATGGCAATGTCTCCTGAATGCCCATTGCTTATGGTGCCTTCAAATACAATCTAGGAGTGAACACAGACAGAACAATAAATCCACAAACAGCCCTTGCAATATTCCAGAGAAACAAATTAAAGTTATCAGATTTTCTTAGTGTTTAGAAGTTTTCAACTGACAAAAAGGTAAAGCTCAAGAGAACCCTTGAAATGTATCCATTATCATCAACTCCCCAAAAGTTAAATAGCTGGGTTTTTTACTTTAAAAGTTACAGCCTCAGTGATGCAGTGGTTAGAGTACAGTACTGCAAGCTACTTCTACTGCAATTTGGCAGATTGAATCCCACCAGGCTCAAGGTTGACTCAGCCTTCTATCCTTCTGAGGTGGGTAAAATGAGAACCCAGATTGTTGGTGGCAAAATGCTGACTCTGTAAACCACTTAGAGAGGGCTGTAAAGCACTATAAAGTGGTATATAAGTCTAAGTGCTATTGCTATTGCCACTAGGAGTGGAAATAAATATTGGCTGCCCACCATTCTTTTTGACCAAGCTAGAGGCTCAACAATCTTCAGCTTCTCCTAATCCATTCTAGATCTCTTCACCTTTCTCCAGCTTTTGACACCCACAGAAATGTAGTGCTTTATTTAAATTAGTGCCTTAATTAAATTTTACATTATTTCTCTGATAAGACACAAAAACCAGTGCAAAAAAACAGAGTCTTCCGGGGGCTAGTAAAAACCTTACCCTAACACAATCCTGTATTTGATTCTAGAATTACTGTAGCTTTAACAATTTCATATCATGTATTATTTATTCATTTATAGTTTAATATCTGCAAAGTGCCTAGAGTCCAGTAGGTCTGAATAATAGATAAATGGCATTAAACAAATAAACTTCACGTGTTGATTTGGAAATACAGAACCTGAGCATAAGCCTCAAATATATATTTGGTGGGCAAACACCAGAAAACACAATTTGTTTTCATTATGGTTCTTCATCTTGGCTTCCCTCTCAGGTCCAGCTGGATTAATCTTCCAATGGAATTGGGAATGTGTTGAGATGAAATCTATTTACAGTTTCCATTAAGTTGATGCAGTGATAAGACTCATGGAGGGACTCTAGCAAAGAAGCAGGGATTCTAAAATGTGAAAAAAGATCCCAAAATTGCTCGCCTGGACTTTGGACCACATCCAAGTACTGTTTTCTTCTGACTATGAATGAGTGGTTTGAACCCCATGCTAATTTTGTACAAGAAACTGCAGAGAGAAGAAAGAAAACCAAGCAAACAAACTAAGAACTTCATTCTGTATTCTAGCTAATTTTGCAATATAGACAAATATGCCTGTCAGGTTTAATTTCCACACTTTATTTCAAAACTCAGACTGGCATTTTCATCCAAATGCTTCAGTGTGGTGAAGGGAAACAGAACGCAGGTTAGTGAAAAGCAGAGTAGACAGGGAACACTTCTGAATTGTTGGGAGCAACAGCAAATACAGACAGAAAAGAAGTTTCTGACTTTATATTCATATCAAATTTAAACTGCTTTAATACTTATTTCTCTTCCTAAGAAATCCTGGGTGCTGCTGCATATCTGTCAAGCTTAGACTACTAACTTCTGATAATTTAAAACATCCTACAAAGCAAAAAGTTGTAGGAATTTTCAGAGGGAGGAAACTGGGTGGTTAAATAGTACAGATAGTCCTCAACTTACAACCACAATTGAAACCAGATATTCCATTGCTAAGCAAGATAGTTGTTAAGTGAGTTATGCCCAATGTTACAACTTTTGTTGCCACAGTTGTTAAGCAGATCACTGTCATTGTTAAGTGAACCATGTGGTCATTAAGTGAATCTGGCTTCCCCTATTGAATTTGCTTGTCAGAAGTCGAATGGGAATGTTGCCAATGGTGACCATGACCATTTACTTCAAACGTCGTAAATACCATATATTTTGTTTGTCAAGCACCAGAATTTTGATTATATGACTGTAGGGATATTCCAATATTTGTAAGTGGCAGATTGGTCACAAATCACATTTTTAAATGCCATTGTAACTTTAAATGGTTGCTAATGAATGGTTGTAAGTTAAGGACTATCTGTATAAAAAAAATTTCAGTTTACAATGTAAGCTTTCACCATAATTAGCATTTTTCTTCCAACAAGCAATTGGGGTAAGTTTCAATGCTGGATTGCAACAATGATTAAAACACCAGGCTAGAAACCAGGAGACCATATGTTCTAGTTCTGCTTTAGGCATGAATCCAGCAGGGCCAGTCACTCTCTCACAGCCCTAGGAAGAAAGAAAGGGCAAACCCCAAAATGCCTCATTAAAAAAACTGCAGACAGTCCAGACAGTCACCAGGAGTCAGAAACTTATACTAAGGCAACTTATACTAAGGCAGTGGTTCTCAACCTGTGGTCCGTGGATCCCTGAGGGGCAGCGATGTCATCACAGAGGGTCCACAAAGGCTTCATGCTGTTTAGTGCTTTAAATCTTGAGTTAAGTCTTGGTAGTCTGGTAGTATTGGTAGTATTTATAAGGGGTTTGTGGTGAAGAAAAGGTTGAGAACCACTGCTCTAAGTCATTTATCTTTCTTTCTGTTTATCTATCTGCCTGTCTACCTACTGTATCTACCTATTCCAAGGGCATCTGTGAGATGCTGATAAAGAAGCCAGCATATTGGCCATGACTGCATGATGTATGTCAAAAATTTTGGCTGCCATCTTGACTTTTTTGCCCCATTCCTATGGACTATTCAGAATTTATACGCAGCTGCTCTCTATTGCTTAAAATGTCTGAAAACACAGGGCCCACTTTGGAGCTCTTGACATAATTGCTCCCTTCCCCCTAAGAAGTAGGTGTGCAATTTATTTTTGTGTTTCTCCAGTGTGGACTCCAGACTCTTAAATAATTATAGCACCAACAATCTAGGCAAACTCTTAAATTCCTGCTGCCTCCAATATGCACTCACATTTATTTCTTATATGTTTGCCTTGACAAGCTACATGATCATCATCCAAGAGGAAATAGGGGAAGGAAAAACAATCCCAAAAGGTAGAGCTACCAGATCTGGGTTGCAAACATCTTAGTGATCACAAAAAGCAAGAAATACATAGAGAAAATGCTATATTTTTGTTGTCTTCTGCTGGTGATCTTGATTTTTGCAGTCCATGTCTTGCAAAATATAATCTTTTAAGGATGTAAATGACAATAAAATAAACCCAGAACTAAACTATATATAAAATAGGCAAAATCCAACTAGCAAATACAGGGTTGTTCAGTTACTATAGCAACATGGAAAACAAAATGAAAGAGAGAAAGCTCTTATGAACAATGTTTTCTTTTTTTTTTAAACATGGTCTCTTGAAATCTGGCAGATGAATGTGTAGCGATGCCCAATCTCAATCTACACCTTAACATGCTCACCTGATATTCTGTATCATAACTAGGCAGAAGAATCCGGCCTTCTCTCCACTCCTCCCCTTGGTCTTCCCTGATGATCCACAGTGGTTTGTTTTCATGTGTTGCCTCCCGTCGCACCTGCAGCATAGTCCCACTCCCTCCAGAGAGCTGGTACCAAAACATCAGGCACACAGCACTCCTGGGCAAGAAGACAGTGGGACTGATCAGCCGAGCATGTTGCCCTTCTCTTCTTGCGCTGCTTTGCAACCTCAAATAACTCTTGCCATCTGCTGAAGAAGATTAATCCTAATTAGAATTTGCAATAGATATGGCAATCTATGGTTATTAGCTCTAGTTAATGAGAAATTCAACCATGAATAGCAAGAAAGAACATGGTTCATAATTTCAGCATGATGTAGAAAAAGAGGTCACTCATTTCCTGTCCTGCTCCACACTGCTATAACATGAGGAGAGAACTTAACACTTAAATGTCAGATGAAGGAAGCATGCATTTTAAATAAAGTATTGGGTATTCTCCAAAAATTACTGTGTTTAGACTATTAGAAGAAGAAGCTGCTTCCACAAGAACCTGCTTATTCATTAAGATCTCCTAGAAAAACTTATTTTTGCATCCTACTCTATTTAATTATTCATTTCTTAGTGATAGCACCAGATTTAGGATTTTCTTCATTTGGGAGCTTCCTTTTTTTGGCTCTTAGCCTTTTGCAGATGTTTAAGACCATCTCATTTCAAAACATATTATTTGAAAAAAGGAAAGTAGTGTTAATTTTGGAAGACCTACAACCCCTTCTCCACTCCTCCAACCCTCATATTTCAGTCTGTATTAAGCTGCCCAACGTCATTTGATTTTGGTAGTACAGAAATACTTGTAACAATAGAAAATGTTTATATGAGTCCCTAAAAAATTCAGTTTTTTTCTCCTATATTATTTATGTACTTTTGCATTTGCTTTCATTTAACTCTAACCCTAACATAATCTTGTATTTCAGTATTCTTTCAATACAATGTTGAAAGTTTACTGCTAAAAAGTAGTCTACCAATTAATGAAAGCATTACACATAAAAGAGGCAACAGACAATATTTCCTCCAAAACTACCAATAATCCAATAGGCTGGACTGATGCCATGCAAAGCATTCTTACTGACTTCTTGGTTATGAGTAAGCCTTCTTGCTTATTCATCCTAGGCCTGCAAGGTTATTTACACTTTCGCTGAATCACAAGCATATTTTCATGGGATTTATATATTGGGAAAACTGCATCTGGTAAATATTTGCTTCTCATATACAAAGCTTTAAAAAATATATGCTATTAATCTTTTAATCTATAGAGAGAAGTTTAAAAGTGTGTAGGCCTGTGACAGTTAATATATTTGTAGAATATGATAATAGAGTATACACTAAAGATTGAATCCCACATATATTTTTGTAGGAAAATGCTCCAATGTGTACAACAGGTTGCACTATTTAGAACATACTTATAAGAGAGAAAATATCTGAGAAATCATAGCCCTGTATCTGAAGAATGAACCAAAGAAAATAATATGGAGCTGTGCAGCCCTTCAGATATGTAACTGAAAAAGTACCTCAGAGCATATAGGGATATGAATGTGCCTCTTCTTTCTCCAAGTCCTTCAGACAAATTTGTTGCACATCCCTACTAAACTATACACAAATCATTGTTAGGAAGACTAATCGTAAGAAAAGAGGCATCCACCAGATGGATAAAAAGATAAGACATTATCCTGGCAGAGGCAGAGAAGTAAGGTAGCTATCTATTTCACCAACAGCCATAAACACAAAAGCCTCCTGATCAAGACACTTGAAAAGCTTAAGGCAAATGATTGACATAATTAGGACAAGTGAAAGTGTTACAATTGGCAAGGAAAATTGACTCTGTAATCATGACTTTATCAGTGTGTGTGCATGTGTATGCACATGTTCATATTTCTGTCTTTTATTTGCTACTCTGTTTTTAAGGTAGACACTTGTGAGCACTGCTTGTCATTCACTATGCTGACATTACAACTAGGGAAGAGACGTTCCTCCTGCCCCCACTGTAATAAGCAATAAATACTTCGCAATCTGGAGTAGCAGAAAATTCAACTGATGGTTCTGCTTCTGCTTCCTCCTCCTCTTTATATTTGCAAATATTAATCCTCCATTTCAAATAGCAAGATGAGGCTGCTACTGGGGATCTAAGCAAAATGATTCAAACATGGTAACGGATGCCAAGAGCAAAGGTGACTAATTTGAGTTGAAAGAAAAATTCAGTCTCTCAGAGCCCTTCCCAACTTTTACCTAGCTAAGCAAAGCAGAAACATGTCCTAGCAACATTTTTTTCTTCCAACCCCACATGACATTGCTTTCATCTTGTTCCCAGACCTTGACTGTTACAAGCTTAAGATGCCCTTTAGCTATATCAGTATTAAAAATAAAAAATAAAAAAGCATTTCCCCCTGATTCTGTTCCCAAGGTTAGCATCAAAACACACAAAATCTACTGGGTTTTGCTACCCATTATTTTGAAAGGAAGTAAGGAAATACAGTGACTCGAAACAGAGGTAACAGAAGCAGGCTAAGAATCAGAGTGAAGTCTGCAATTTTGAAACTGGTAACATTTTCGGTCAGCTCAAGAATGGATGGACTGCACCAACTCAGTAATGGGGAAAGACCCTGCAGTAGCATTGTGGAAGTTAGGAAAGTGTGTGTTATCTGTGATTTGTTTTCTCCAAACACGCTACCACCTCTTCAATAGGCTGAAATTAGAGTAATGGAGAGCTTATTTATATGTTTGGTTGCCCTGAGGCAAATCCTCAACCTTTTTACCCCAATGCCATGTTAATAAAAGTGGACTGCTTTGGGATTTTAGTTTTAAAATAATGGTTAGAGTGGGGAGAAAAAAAGAAATCTGGGTTGGTTTGGTGATGGTTTTAGAGTGAGAGTAAGCTTTCACATTATCCAGTACAAACAGCCTGGTAATAATGCAAACCCTAAAACAAAATTAATGGAAGAGAATAGCTTCTAGATGTTTGCCCTATACAGGAAGAGAATATTATTTTCACTATAAATAGAACTCATATTTGATACACAGCACTCACTGGAACTATTTCATAATGGCTTTATAGCTTTTCTACAATAAACCTACTTATCTGAGCTTTTGTGTTTTTGGGCAGGCAGTCTTGAACTTTTTACCTTGCTGTTGAAGAAAGCCTGGCCATTACTGTATTGTATATGAATGCTGTAATCTCCCATGTCATGCTAATGTTGATCTCAGGATGTGTTTAACAAACCAAAAAGCTTATGTGCTTTATTTATTTATGTAATCAATGTATACAGACACTCACTCACCACACAATTCAGTACAATGTACATAATTAATAAACTATAGTAAATTTAAACACATAATAAAAGAAGGCATTAAAACGTAGATCAATCCAGAAAATAATATATAACACGTAAAGTGTCAAGAAAAGCAGATTTAATGGTCATTCCATGCCCAAGCCCAATGCTGAAGAAAAAAACAATCCTTTAATGCCTTTCAAAAAACAGACAGGGTCAGAGTTGGCTGGATTTCAGGGAAGAGGCTGTTACAAAGGCAGGAGCAACAACAGAGAATGCCTGTCTCTTAACTCCTGCCAGACGACAATGCCCAAGCAATGAGACCTGGAGCATAGCAAATCTGTCAGAACTTTCTGGATGGACAGAAATAATCAAAATGGAGTCCTTTAAGTAGCTTGGCCCTGTCTTGCTTTACCAATAATCTGCTAGTACATTTAATTAAATGTTGGTATTATTAGAAGAGTAGTAATAGCAGCAGATGTTTCTTTTGTTTTGCTGTGGTAATATTGCTGAATGCTACTCATGCAATGCCAGCTCCCATTTTGCAGCTTACAAAATGTATACTTTTGAAAACATTTAAAGAAATTTCCTATCATGGCAGCAGTTAGGTTAGTATACCTGGGAGGAGTTAACTACCAGCTAATTTTAGAAAAAACCTGGTGAGATGATTGTCCTATATCCGTGATGGCAAACCTATGGCACGTGTGCTAGAGGTGGCATGCAGAGCCCTCTCTGCAGGCACGGTCATACATGTGCATGTGCCTCCCACTTAGCCAGCTGGTCTTTGGGTCTCTGCCATGCATGCAGGGGGGATGGGGTGCAAGTGGCATGAGGCACATGTGCGGTGGGCATGGGGGCAGGGCTCATGCGTGGGGAATGCATGCACATGCACAGGGTGGGGCACATGCATGGGAGATGTGCGCGCATTGCACTTTGGAGGTTTGCACGCACTTTGGGCACTCAGTGCTGAAAAGGTTAGCCATCACTGACCTATATGCTTGATGCAACATTTCTGAGTGAGAGCAGAATTCTCTGTTCTATTGACTACTCAAAATATTCTTTGCAATGTCTTTTAATCGACTCTCTTTCACCAGTCCTTCTGCAATTATTATTATTTATTATTGACTGGTCAGTAGTCATCAGCACGATCTACTAGTGCTTTTACTATTGTGACCTTGACATGAAAGGAGAGAGAGGGAGGGGGAGAGGGAGAGGGAGGGAGGGGTGAGAATGCTAATTCCCATTGAATTCTCATTATTTTCTATAAACAGAACACTTGAAACATTTCAAGTTCTATTACACAAGAAGATATTCACTATGGGGTGTTTTTTTTTTGTTCCATCAAAGCACAACCAAATTGAAGGTTCCAATGGAACATTATATGTAAGCTGCTTTGTTTTGAACTCAAAACAAACCAAATCTTCACTTTGTGCAAAATTCCAATAGTAAGCCTACTTTCTTATTGCACAGTGGAATGTAAAGGGCAACTCGCAATATTTCTAATTTAATAATATGGCTCAAAGATTGTAGAATTGCTTGTGGCTGATTTAATTAGGTCATCAGGAATTGCAAATCAGCTTTCCCCACAGAAAACTAGGAAATTCAAGATTCATACAGTTTATTTATTTTATTTAAATATGTATATTAATATAGCTGGAAGGTCCACTTAGGCCAACATATCTAACCACCTGCTCAGTGCAGGAATCCAAATTACATCCCAACTCCAGTAGAAGAGAATACATTGAAAAACAGTTCACCATGTGACAAACTGGCCTCCCAAAAGAAGAGCTGCACAAGAACATTATTCAAAAAGGACAAAAGCACTGCAGCTATCCAGAACAGCAGGAAAACAAACAGAGTCAGAGGTGGGCTGCACATACTTTAACAACCGGTTCACCTAGTGCAGAACCAGAAATGTGAGCGTGCGC